CTTCTTAGTGCTTAGTAGTTGTTCATATATATATTCCAGATTGTAATACTTTATCAGTATTAAAAGATGAATCTCAATTATTTCTGTTAAATAAATACTACTCTTGGAGTATATAACAAAGGTTTGTACCTAACAATGACAAAAGTTCAAATGCTGTGGGTAAGAACAGACATAAATACTTTATTACAGCTATAATCTGGTAGATGCCAATATATAAACTGGTATGTACAGTCTTCTCAGATCAGGAAATGTTTAGAGCATAGTGATTCTTTCCTAACATTTATCTGCTTGGTGACATTTTCTTTTTCTTTTTTGGTACCAGGGATCGAATAAGGTCCTTGCGCTTGAAGTCAGGCGGTGGAACCACTGAGCTAAATCCCTGGCCCTCTTGGTTATGTTTCTGTGGAAGAAGTTTTGTAGTTCCCCTTTCCACCTACCCTCTCTTATTATTTTCTTTTTCCTACTTAATAGAAGGAAGGAAAATATGCCATCCATTTCAAATTGTATTATGGTACATTGCCTGGGGTTGTAAAAATTCTCTAGGGCACTAATCAGAGGAACAATTTAGAATGCCTTGATCCTGTGGAAGTTTTTCCTGGTACAGCAAAGCAAGAAATTTCATTCCTGTTTCATTCAGCTGACAAATAGTTGAGAAGGCTGCCTTACCTTTCTTGAAATTAGAACTCAAAAGTAAAATGGTGATCATAGGACAACACAATCACCATTTTAACATGTTTATGTGAGTCAAAAGATGGAAGGCAGATTTTTAATAACAGAAAATTAATTTTACTCATTGGTTTAATAACAATAACATTGTCTCCACCTCTTAGGTCATAGAATATAGGTTGTCCATAAATTACATGAATGTCACTTAATGACAGTGGAATTATTTAAAGCACATACGAATTGCATCCTGTGCAACTATATAGACTTCAAGTAAAAATAATTTTAGAATCCTTTAAAATGAAGATGAGGAAATATTCTTTTAACAAGTATATGAGTAGAACATGAACATGGGGTAGGAGAATAGTAAACTAGGTTTCAGGTTGTCTTTGAGAGATGAAATCTGAGTGGTTTTTGTTTGTTTTGTTTTTTGACAGAGTCTTAATATATAATCCAGGCTAGCTTTCAGCTCACTATGTAGCCCACACTGGCCATGAACTTACGGTAATTGTCCTATCTCAGTCTCTGCCTAAGCATAACTTTTTTTTTTTTTTTTTTTTTTGGTACCGGGGATTGAACTTGGGACATTGTGCTTGTGAGGCAGGCAGTGGAACCACTGAGCTAAATCCCCAGCCCTACTGAGTATAATTTTGAAGACTTTTGTGTCTGCTTGCTGAGGTTATGTGGTGACTACAACGGAAACTCTCTGCTGATATGGAGCTTATAGAAATGTAGAAGACTAATACAAAACAAACATAGGTGTCATGCTAGTCAATGAAAGTGGCACAAAAGAAACAAAGGAGGATGAAATACATAGAATGATGGGCTGCTCTTTTAGATAGGGCACTCCAATACAGGCATATTAGGCTGATCTGGTGCCATTTAAATGGACACCTAAGGAAGTTGAGAGAAGTAGCCATGTGACTGTCTGGGGGAAGTGTTTTCGACAAAGAGATATAAGTGTAAAGTCTGAGACAAGGGTGTGATATGTCCAGGTATTAGCATGAAAGCTAGTATCACTGGAATAGCATAGGTATATAAGAGTATGGTAGATGATGAAATCAGATTTAGTACAAACAACTTCTGTATACTCTACCTAGATTCTCCAGTAGCTTACAACTTCCTTCATTTTTTTATCCTTCCTTTTTCATATATATAAGTGATATGTATGTTTGTCTTTGTATAAGGAAAATCCATATACATATATTTTCCCTTTCATAATTAATAAGTAATGTAGAGCAAGATACATTGAGATTATATACTCTCTTCCTTTTCTGATTTTCCTCACCAATTTTACGTCCATTTATGATTTTCCCACTGCATTTTTTCTTTACTTATGACTTGGCATTCTATTGTAAGGAAAAGCTTTCTCTTCCTTCCAGTCATTCAGTTTTTTATGTCAGTGTGAATTAATAAATTCCTATTCTGTGAGATATGACCCATTACTATCAAATTGTCTCTCCGATTTGTCCATTGGGAACCTCTTCACTCTGGCTGCTGTGCCCTTTTGACACATTACCATGATTCTTTGAGAATTTCCTTCCCTCAGGTCAAAATATTCCAGCCTCACTATATTCCTTTTCTGTGGCTGCTTAGGAATAAGTCATTACAACAGAGAGCTTTGGAAACTTTTGAAATTGGTCTGAAGTTAATGGGTAGTGCCTTGAAATAGTGCAACAACTCCAGGAGTGACATGATCCAAATCAACATTTTGAAAAGACCACTTTAATAACAGATTGCAGAAAAGATTCAGTTATAAAATTGCCAGTGAAGAGCATAATTATGAATCTCTTCTAGTAATTTAGACAAGCCGTAATGAAGGCTGGAAAATGCTTATTAATGAATAAATGAAAATAGTAATCGACAGGCACTTCCTCTGCCAGATGATCAAAGTCATTATCAATATCAATACACTGTTGAGAGTTTGTACCTTTAAAGTGTGATGAAAATGGCACTTAACCTGTGTAGTTTTCCTTCCAAAGACCCATAACACCAGTTATAATCATAAGAAAAACACATGACAAATCATATTTGAGGGACATTCTACAAAATCCTTGACAAGTACTCAACACCATCTAGGTCATCAAAAACAAAGAGATTTAGGGCTGGGGATTTAGCTCAGTGCCGCTGCCTGTCTTTTAAGTGCAAGGTCCTGAGTTCGATCCCTGGTACAAAAAAAACCAAAAAACAAAAACAAAAAAAACCAACCAAAGAGAATTGAACAAACTGTCACAGCCAAGAGGGGACTCAGGAGACGTGACAACTGAATGTTATATTGTGTCTCAGAATAGAAAAAAACATTAGGCAAAAACTAAAGAAATTTGTATGTGAATTTTAGTTAATGTATTCATATATTGGTTCAATTGTAACAGTGTAATAATCTATTATAACAATTTATAATAGAGGAGACTATAATGAGGTACACGAAACTATACTGTCTTCACAATCTTTTTGTAAATCTAAAACTGTTGGAGAACTAAGTATTAAAAAACACCGTAGGGCTGGGGATTTAGTTCAGTGGTTCTGCTACCTGCCTCACAAGTTCAGGGACCCAAGTTCAATGTACAGCACCAAAAACAAAACAAAACAGAAACACTTGTCAGTGGAAGTGAAATAATAATGGATTTTAGAGCATTGTTAGAAGGTTGAATTGAACATGTTTGGTTTACTGAATTGAGAAACAAGGATTACACGTTGACTTCTAGTGCTTTATTTTTGGTAGGTGAGTTATAATGATGACATTTTCACATAATATCTAACACTATTCAGAGTGGTAATTTTCAAAGGGTGTATGCTTGTTTCAACAGTCCAGCCTTTGTCAAAATATTTTGCAGTTTTGGGAATCTTTTATAAATTATTTTGTAACATTTCTTAATGAAATAGCAGTGTAACCTTAGGCAAGCTTGTAAGCCTCAGGTGTAGCAATCTATATTAAGAAATTACTGTGGGCCAACTGTGGTGATGCATATGGTAATAGATTTTTGTCCTTTGAAGGAGAATTTGATCTTTGAAAATAGCTTTAAATTGTTTGAAGTCTGGTCTGGTTGATACTTGTACTGAATTTGTTTTAAGCAAGATAAAAAATAATTTGATGATAATTTTTGACATAAATTTTTAAAAATATTACTTACAATAATGCTGGAAAAATAGGACATGCATTTATTTGTCATATTTTACTCTCCTTCAGGCAATGACCATTCATCAGTGTTTTCTGAGATAGTCTTATTCTGCTTCTTTGTCTGAACTTGAATTCCTGAGCTCAATTGATCTTCCTGCCTTAACCTCCAAAGAGCAGTTGACCTGACCTCCTTTTCTTTCTTTTCTTTTCTTTTTTTAAAAAGTATTTTAAGACAGAGTCTTGGTCTTTCTATATAATCCAGGCTGGCCTTAAACTTGCTATACAGTCCAGGCCGACTTTAAACTTGCAGTTCTCCTGCTTCAGCCTCTTCAGTGCAGGGATTATAGATGTGCACCACCACAACCTGGCTCTGACCTCTTTATGGTATTTTAAAGCTTCTGAACAGAGGTGTTCAGTTATTTCATAGAAGACCCTTTAATTTGGTTTTGTTTGATTTTTTTTTTTTTTACTTTGAGGATGTACATTATTGAGTGATCTCTGGAGGTGATAGCCTCTTCTCAGGACATCTTCACAGAGCTGCATATTCAGTATGCATTACTGTGACTTTAATATTGATCAGTTAACTCAAGTGCTGTCTGCCAGGATCCTGCACTGTAAAGCTATGGTTTTACTACACTACTTTCTAAATATTTTGGAGAATACAATCTGAAGCTATTCATAGACTTTGAGTCACTAATCTTAGTACTCACTAGTATGTCTTGCCTATGGGACTTACTGTAGCATTCTCATGATTTTATATTTGCCTCATTTCTTCTACATTTTTCAGTTGAAGCTTTTGTAAAGAAGAGTTAACCTAAGAATTTTTCCCCCCTTAGGAAATTCACTAAAACATTTAAAGTCAGTGCTAGTACCAAGATTTTTGTGGTTAACATCCCATCCAATAGTTGTGTTTTAATTTGAGGAAAAAGGATAGCTGGTTCTTTTGTAAGTTTAGGGTTCAGTAGAGTGTAAACTCAGTTTTGTTTGGTGTTGTATAAATTTACTTTCTTTACTTTCGAATGGCTTTATTTTTGTGATTTGTAAGGTGATTTTTATGGTGACAATCGGAAATTATTCATTTTTCTCATTAAATATCTTAACTAATAACCTGGGGAAACTAAAAAATGTATTTTGTATTAATTTATATTCAAAGCTTTTATAATTAGTAACTTTTTAAATAAAGACATACCTTTAATTTTCTTCTTCTTCTTCTTCTTAGGCTTGAAAAGGAATACACTACAATAAAAACTAAAGAAATGGAAGAGCAAGTTGAAATTAAAGTAAGCATTTCAGGGCTTTTTTAAGTGCGAAAGAGAAATTGGTTAGTCAGTTATTTGATAATAGATACTAGGTTATGTTTATCTCTTATTACCATCTAGTAAATTTAGCAATAAAATTTATTTATTGACTATCCTTCTATATTATGGTTGAAAATAGATAGTTTCCAAAAGCAGGGTAATATGACTGAAATGGCTATTTTATTCTTTTGTGAAAAAGAGCAGCTTTATCGGTGGCTCCTCAGGAGAAAAAAGCTCCATGGAGGACATAATTACATGCCTTTTAACTGTAATTGTAATCTTGGCAGAAAAGATCATCTGTAACACATTGTATTTTGAAACTAGCTGCAGATAATTTGTGGCAGACTAATTAGAACAAGTCATTACATTAGAACTAATTATAGCTGTTTAAGAGTGCAAGGACCAATGTAATTTTTTCTTGCCTAAGCAAGGGTTATACTTTGTAACTACTTCTCAGAGAAACAGGTAGATTTTTTAATTTGAAGGATATATAAATACTCTGTATGTATCCTAACGTTCTTACTTGAACCTTCTGTAAGCGGAATTTTTAAAAAATTTACTTTTATTTTTTAAATTAAGTTTATTGGTATATTTTAGGTATATGTAATGAGCACATTCATCATAGGAAAGCTTGGTGTGGTGGTGGGATAAATCCTACTTAAAGTATATAATCTTGATGACTTGCTACATTGTTTGCTAGTATCATTTTGAGAATTTTTGCATCTATGTTTGTTTGGGAAATAGGCCTCGTGTTCTCTTTTTGCATGGATCCCTCTCTGATTTTAGAATCAAACTAATGCTTGCTTCCAGGAATGAATTTGGGAGTACTGTTTCCTTTTCAGTTTCATTAAAGAGTTTCAAAAGTAGCAGAATTAGGTCTTCTGTAAATTTCTTGTAGAATTCAGAAATGAATTTGTCAGGGCCTTGGCTTTTTTTTGTTGGTATTTGTTGTTGTTTGTATTTTTTTGTTTTTTTTGTATCAGGGACCCTGTGCTTTCCAGGCACGTGGCTGCACCACTGAGCTAAATCACCAGCCCTTGTTGTTTTTAATCACATCTTCAATTTCATTGACTGATATTGGTTTATTTAGAATTTTTATATATTCTTGATTCAATATGTATCTAGGAATCTTTCCATTTCTTCTCTTTTCCATCCTATTAGAAGAGGAGGTTCTTGAAGTAGGTATTAATGGTCTTCTGAAGTTTTGCAGCATCTGTTTTAATTTCAGCCTTTTCATTTCTAATTTCATGGATTTTAGGCAGTTATTTCTTTTTTTTTTAATAAGGTTGTCTAAGGGTTTGTCAATTTTAATCTTTCGAAGAACCAACTCTGATTTGTTGATTCTTTATATTATTTTCATGGTCTTCTTTGCCTTAATTTCTGCTCAAATCTTTATAATTTCCTCCCTCATACTAGGTTTGGGCTTGACTTGCTGTTTTGTTTTTTTTTTTTCCTAGAAGCTCAAGGTGCAACATTAGGTTTATTTGCAATTGCTCTGTTTTCCTGATATGTGAATTTACCACTATAATTTCCCTCATAGGACTGCCTTAATTGTGTCTTCCATAAGTTCTGATATGTTGCATTGGCATTATCATTTAATTGTAGAAACTAATTGTTTTCATCTGTGAACCATTGTTTTTTCAGGAGGGTGTCATTTAATTTCCACATGTTCATGAAATTCTTGTGGTTTCTTTTTTTTGGGGGGAAAGGATCTCACTATATAGTTGAGACTGACCTGGAACTTATGTAGCCCAGGCTGCTCTTGAACTCAGAGCGATCCTCCTGTCTCAGCCTTCCAAGTGCTGGATTACATGGTTTCTTTAGCCATTGATTTCCAGTTTCATTGCACTATGGTTTAATAATACGCATGGAATACTTTCAGTTGTTTTGCATTTCCTTAAGCATGTTCTATAAACTAGTATGTGGATTATTTTGGAGAAAGTCTCATGCACAGCTGTGAATGTGTATTCTGATACTGTGGGGTGGAATATTCTGTGGACATCTACTTAGTCAATTTATTCAAAAATTTGGTTCAGTTCTGATATTTATTTGTTGATTTTTTGGTATAGTTGCTCTGTTTGTGACAATGGGGTATTGAGATCCTCCATTACAGTTGTATTAGTGTTTATTTGATTTTTTCATGTCCATTAATATTTGTTTTATATAGTTGGATACACTAGTATTTGATGCATATATATTTATGATTGTTATCGCTTGTTTTGGATTGTTCCCTTTACAAATATGTAGTGACCTTCTCTGGCTTAAAAACCACTTTGTCTGCAAATAGAATATTTACCTCTGCTTTTTTCTGGTTTCTTGTCACTTGAAGTATTGTTTTCCATCCTTTGATGTCCTCTTGAGTTCTGGGATTACAGGCATGCACCATTGTGCCTGGCCCTCACATGTTAAAATGATGAAAATAGAGAACGACAAAATAAGTTCATGTTATACAAAGATAGGATTGTCACAATAAAATAATGTATCAGCAGGTCCACCTGAATCTAATTCCTTGCAAAATTCAGAGCAAGTTTTTTTTAAAAACTCCAAAGAAAAACCCTAAAAAATAGACAAAAGTATTACAATCACAACTCATTCTAAACTTCAAAAATACCGGCTGTGCTGATCAATGTTTGCATTATGTTAGGTCCTGTGCTGTGTCATTCAAGTTTCCTAATACCTTTGTGGGCTTTATTACTTTTAATTTTCTAGATCAAATACTTTAAAGCATTAAGTGACATGCACAAGTATTAGAGAATGAAGATTTGAATTTAAATCAGCCTAATTTCAAATCCAAAGCTTTTAACTACTTTAGAACTATATAGTAATAACTGGTGTTTGACGAGGATAAATACAACAAGAATAGGGGAAATTATTTCTACTGGATTTTAAAAAGGAGTAGAAAGCTTTGTCAAAATGCTATGATTGTTAGTGTGAAAGAAGATATTAACTTATAAAGGTAACTCTGAAATGGTCTATTCTAGCTGAAGAGCCTTTTTAATCAACTAAGCATGAAATAGATATTACACAAATGGTGATACAATGATTTATTTTTCAACTGGTATTAAGGGCTACCCATGTGCAAGGTCCAGGTTTTGATTGGTACTACTACAAAAAGAAAAAAAACCAGAAAGAAATGTGAAGCTTAAAAAGTAGCACTAAGACATTTGGTTCAGTGTTTGGGAAAAATGACAACTTAGAATTTTATTTATAGTAAAATAAATTTCAGACTTAAAGTAGATGGGGGAAGAAAATCCAGGTGAATTTTTTTTAAAAACAAGGTTTTGAAGTGTATATTTCAGGGTATTCTTGAACTTGCTGTGTGGCACATGCTACCCTTGAACTTCAGATTCTCCTACCTTAGCTTCTTAGTTGCTGAGATTACAAGTGTGCCCCACAATGTCAAGCTAGGTGAATGTTTTGAGTTCTAAATTTTAGCATTATTTCTGTTGTGAGTAGTTTTACTCAGTTGTGTAGTTGGAACTTAATTTTTTAAAATCTTGTAGGATAGACAATGTTAACTTTGGTTGATAAAATGAGAACATTTTGGGAATCCTAGTTTTTAAAGCTTTCTAGACTGTACCAGTGTTTAATGATTGAGGACCTGTACAGATTACTCGTATATAGACAAGCAGCCAAGAAATGGGAAATAGTTTCTATTTCTTAAGCTGTTGTTTTATATTCTGAAATCACAAATAATGCCCACTTCATATCATTCACTAAATATATTTTAGTGACTAGAAAAGGAAAATCCAGTTTGCAAAGTATATTTGTAATAACCAAGATTTATTCTAATTTATAATCTACTTAATAATATATTATAATTCATAATCTTTTTTCCTGAGTGAAGATTTTATGTGTTGTATAAACTGATGTTAAATGTTTACTAGAAAAAATAATAGATTGAATTGATAGGATTTTCAAAGAAGATATTTATAACAAATTTGGAGGAAGATAGGTCTGGAAAAAGAATGGGTTGAGCTCCTTGAATAAATTGATACAAAAAGGTAAGGAGGTTTGCAATTTGAGGGATGGCAAAAATGAAAGGACAAGATAGTGGATTTCAAAATGAAGAATAATTTATATAGTTAATAAAGTGGAATATGCAAAAAGATGATTAAAATATGGAGTGATTTGGACTTAATACTTGACAATAATTTAACAAGTGTTACTGAGCTAGGTATCAAACAGCTAGATGAAGTTTCTCTTTTTTAAATCCTGTGTTACTTTTGACACTGAGAAAATGCTGGTATATGCTTAGTAGTTTAATTTTCTTGAGTAGAAAATAACTCATGATAGATTATATTTGCAGTAGGTAAGGAATTTTGCAATGGAGATTGCTCTAGTCTAATATTTAATTTGATATTTGCCCATTAAACATGTATGTTTGAATTTTTTTATTCAACTGACTTACACATATGCTTTGTAGAAGATAAGCAAGGTAGAATCTTTTCTAATGGGGATGTGAAAAATTTAAGACATGGGATTTTCTTCTGTAGTTTATATTTAAAATTCATAGCTGGAATGATGAATGTGATTTCTTTCTATGTGTTTCTTACTCTAAACCTATAACAGTTTGACAGATGATAACATAACCATGCCTTAGCCTTTTCCTATTTATAAAAGGAGACATATTTTTAGGACTGATTTAGGAGTCTTTATTCTTCTTAAGCAAAACTTTTTTTTTAACAGAGGTTACGCACAGAAAACAGACTTTTAAAACAACGCATTGAAACATTAGAAAAAGTAAGTAAATGATTATTGTAAGTATCTATTGAATGTTTAGTATTTTTCCATATATTTTAAATAAATCCTGAAAAATATTAGCATGTGTGTTTCCACTGTGGTATTGACTGCTTAGCTTATCTAGCTTATTATTTAACCAAATAACTATATATTAATAAAAGTTGGTACTAGCACATGAAATTTAATGTTAGAGTTTTAACTGACATTATTATTGGAGTACCATTAATGTCATATCTTACAAATTTGAAAAAGTGTATTTTAAAATCTATTTGGTAATCCATTGTGATATCATATTTTAAAGATGAGTTTCAAATGTTGTATGGTCCTCCTAGCTACATGTAGAAATGATTTCTTTAAGACCTAGGATTAAGTTTATTCAAAGTGACTGATTCCTTATCAAAAAATTCAATCTCAAAAGGATTTTCTGCATAAGGAAGTTGTACATAAACTTGGTTAGAAAAATTTTTGGTGTCTTCTTACTACCTCTTCTCTGTTTCATATAAAATAATGGAAAATGTGGACATGTTGGATTATTTTTCATACTGTGCTTTTAATGTAATTTCTTTTGTAATTGTGTTTCTCATGCAGTGAGTTGAGTAATAAAAGCGTAGTTTAAGAATTTTGCTTTGCCAGGCATGGTGGCACAGGCCTGTAATCCCAGCACTCTGAAGAAGAGGCTGAGGTGGGAGGATCGCTGTGAGTTGAAGGCCAGCTGGAACTGAATTATGCTTAGAGACCCTGTCTCAAAAAATCCAGGGCTGGGGATTTTAACTCAGTGGCATTTTGCCTACCTTGCAAGTGCAAGGTCCTAAGTTCAATTCCTGGTACCAAAAAAAAAAAAAAAAAAAAATTTTTTTTTTGCTTCATTGAGAAAAGAAAACATCTGAATTCACAACTCTTTTGATGCCCCCCCCCCATACTGGGGACCGAATTCAGGATCTTGCACTTGCAAGGCAGGTGGCAGCATCACTGAGCTAAATCCCCAAGCCCCTTTTGATGCTTTTTAAAAAACTAGAAGTGAGAGTAAGTAGGTTTAAAAGTAAGTAGCAGTGCACAAGGACTGGGTTTTTTTATGTCTTTGTTGTATAGTTGCATATATTTTGTCCCTGTTGATAGAGTTTCTTTAAGGGTAGTTCTTTTTGGTGACTTCACAAAAAAGTTGAGCTTAATTGTTTTTAAGTTATTTTAGTTATTCATATACTGTTTGCCCTACCCCACTTATTGCTGGTTTACAGTAAAATATATAACTTCTTAAATGTTTTTTAATTTTTGGAGTGAAATATTTTCACAAAGCATTTGTATTGAATCTTCAGAATGATGTATAAAGATGCTGTAGGAAAGTGTTTAGATTTTACTTTTTTAAAAATTACCTTTTTTACTGGCTTACATACATCGCTTAGCATTTGGAATTCTATAAATATTTAAATATCAATTGAATTTTGCAACCAAAAAGTTTACTTACTTATTATTAGGGTTTATCAAGTTGAGTTCATTAATTTTAATTGTCATATATTCCCTACTTTGTTTCTTTGGATGTTGCTGTTACACAAGTTACTGTCATACTTCGTAAATGTCCTTTTAAAGTATTTGCTTACTGAAATTCCTTCTCCCTTTCATCGAAATGGTTTGAGATACTGTTAAGTCTAAAAATAAAGAGGTACAGATATGCTTTCACAAGAAAATATTTGTTTATCCCAAATAATGAAAAACCATTTGAAATTTTTGGTTTGGTCTCTTTTAGAAACACATGATTTTCTGTTGTCTGTTTTTGTTTTGACATGTTTTTCTTAAGATTTAAGAATAAAAATGCATTTAGTTAAAATAGTCCTAAAATTTAAATGCCCGTTTTAATTAGCAATGAAATGTAGGTGGAATTTGGGTATTTTTCTCTTCTTATTCCTGATTTTATCACACTATTATTTCCTTTCTCATATTTCTGTCTGAATTTTTCCTTTTGTAGGAAAGTGCTTCCTTGGCAGATAGATTGATACAGGTATAATTTTTTTAAGCATTTTCTCTAACCTTATATCTAAGGAAAATCCTAAACCTAGAAATTCATACTTTAATGCATGCAATTTTACATGCATTTTCTTAGAGGTAATTTTTTGGGTGGTATATGGTTTAATTTTTTATTATCTTGGTTTATTCAATTCAGAGCCTCTTGCACGTTTTAAAGCTAACCTTAAGTTTTTACAGTTTATAGCCCACAATGGCCATCACTGAATTCTGTGATATTAACCACTATCCTTGAAAATTTTAGTCCTGCATGTACAACTCAGTAATATTGCATGAATTGAATTTTTATTGACTGAAAGAATTAATCAAGATGGATTTTTAATTTAGTTTCCCAAAATTTTGCTGGAGCAATAACAAACTGCTAGCTAATAATTACCTAGCCTGTTCTATTCTCTGAGGTGATTTTTTTCAGATGTCAAAGTAAATAACTAAACCTCACAAAGGCAGTTAGTTTTTCTTGAATCTATCCTAAATTGCTTTACACACAAAAAATTATGTCCTAAGGGACAAGTGACAAGAGCCCAGGAGGCTGAGGAAAACTACCTCATAAAACGGGAGTTGGCCACCATAAAACAACAGAGTGATGAGGCCAGTGCTAAGCTGGAGCAAGCTGAAAATACCATCAGGAAGCTCCAGCACCAACAGCAATGGGTAAGGAGTCTGGTAGTGCTTTTTCTCACCTTTCTCATCCCTTTCCCTTTAAACCAAAAAATAAATGAATGAATAAAGTACAACTCCAGTGCTCTTGTTTTATATAATTTTGTTTTCTACTTTAATTGAAATGCATTTTATGTTCCATGATGCTTAGGGGTCTTACTGTGGCCTAAAAACTCCTGTTCTGCGTTTTCCCCTCTGCCTACACAATCTTGTTACAAACTGGTAATAATTGTCTTTTCTTACATTATATTGTATGTAATAAAATAAGCAATGTATGTCAGACCTGCTGTTCAGTTCAGAAGTCTGTTTCATAATAGGTAATCCTGACTTCAGCCAGTTTTTATTTATTGTGCAGATGAAATATTACCCAACATATATAATTGCCTCATTTAAAACTTTGATTATATGCATCTTATGAATATATCTTGGGAAATATTATAGTTTAGACTTCCTATATGAAGACATTGAATTATGGGTTAAGGTGTATGCCTACATTTTTTCAAGAAGAGAGAAGTTGTCTAGAGGGGAAAAAAATTAATCCTTTAGAAATTATGTAAACTGACCTACATTTCTAAAAAGTACTGCTTATATGACTAGCTTTAGTTGTCTTTTGCAACTTATACATAATTTTCCATTGCCAAATTCAGATTAAGATTATTTTAGGCATATAAAGGCTAAAAAGAAAACGTCCATTGTCTGTCTTTGAAATATATCTTGTTTCAATTTTTACTTTTATTTTTTTGATACTGGCGTTTGAAGTCAGGACCTTTCACTTGCCAGCCAGGCAGGCACAGTGTGTCACTGAGCTAAATCCCTGGTCCGCTTATTCCAGTTTTCAAGTACGACTTGGATTGTAATAGGAGTAGGTAGAAAAAATTGTGTTGAGAAATCCCAGAGGATCTGGAATGCAAATAGAGTGACAGTTAAGTTCTACATTTTTGTATTTAGTAAAATCAAGACATAGCATCTCATCTGGTACAAAAGCCAGAAAACTAAAGGAAGAAAATATTGGTAATTGAAAGAGCCATAAACATGTAATTTTTTTCTATTATTTTACTGAAGATGGCTAAGAAAAACAAGAGTGATAAAATAGTACTAAAAAGACTAGAGTGTAAGAATTTTATCATGTCTTCATATGGAATATTTATAATATCAAAACAAAATGACAAAAAAAAAGAATTATTGAATCATTTTGGGAATTAGGCTAAAATAAATTACAAATGTAATGTGATTTGTTTAGAAGGAAAGGTAAGTATTTTACTTATGTTTGGCATAAGCTGCATCTCAGTATATTGCAATTGGGCCAGGGATGTAGCTCAATGATGCTGCGCCTGCCTGGCAAGCACAAGGCCCTGAGTTCCAGTCCCAGTACCAAAAAAGTAAAAACAAAAACAAAAGAGGCTTTCTCAGAATATTATAATCATGAATTAAGTTTTTTTGTTTTCTTTGTTTGTTTGCTTTTTCAGTTACTGAGGACCTATAGGTAGATGTGGATCAAAACGATAGTGGTGATTTATGACAAAAAGTTAACTGAGCAAGCAAAGATGACCAGAATGTACTGAGGCTTTTGTAACTAAGTGTAAAACAGACATATAAAATAGTGATGTGCACAATAAATGAGACAGTATAACAGCCTTAGTTAAATTTCTAATTTCAAGTTACATATTGTAAATATTAAAATGGTTTGCAGAATGACAATGATTCTTAGAAAATGAGATATAGTATAGGTTTTAAGGTGGACAGTACATTTCTTAAAGTAGTAAAGATTAAATATCTGAAGAGTGTCCATTGACCTTAGTGACCAGAAATGGCTAGAATATCTGTCTTGTTAACAATTAGATAACCAACTCACTGAAAGCCAGTATGCTTTGCATGTCATTACAAATTAACATTATTTGATAATAAAAATGCCACTTACAACATTTAATAGGCTTTCTCATGGATATATTTCTGATCAGGGTAGAGAAATTTAAGATGAAAGAAGTAAACTTAGTTGTTTTTATAAGTGATTACTATATCAAGAATCCGTGTTCCCATGATGACATATCAAAGGTCTTTATCTCTTAATCCTAGCCATGGTGTATTTCATATTTAAATGTTCACATGTAAGGCATGTTTAAGAATTTTATACATGAAACATTTCAAAATGGAGCTAAGATGTTAGATGATGGATCAATCAAGATTCTAAAACATTTAAAAATCTCTTCAGAATAAGAAGATAAAAGATTATTTTATAGAAATCTATAGCTTTGTCTTTAAATTTAAAACTTGAAGATGTATCTTATTAGTGCCTTATATAACAAAACCTAGAGGTTTTAATTGATAGGAAGTGAGAAATTAGCTACTGATATTATGTGCCTGTCTTCCTCCATTCCCCAATCTCCAGAGTATTCTTCCTGGAAGGGTAACACTCCTAAGTGTTCTAAGTAGTTTGAGGAAAGTTTGTAGTGTTTTATTATCCAGTTTGAATACCAAAACTCATATGAACATTTACAGACTATTTTGTGGCCAAAATAGTAAAGAAGGTAGGAGCCCTGGATTTCTTTTTTTTTACGCTTGGAAAAATGGATTATTATAATAAAACTTTATTTTTTTCAAACACAGCCACAGAGGCAGAACCTCATGTTTAATATACACAGATTGGGGCTGGGGATTTAGCTCAGTGGTTCTGCCGCCTGCCTTGCAAGCACAAGGACCCGAGTTTGATCCCTGGTACCAAAAAACAAAAAGCAAAAAACCAAAAACACGAAAACAAGAACGAAAAACATAACAGAGGTCCGCGGCGTGGTGGCAACACTGAGCTAAATCCCTGGCCTATAGATTTTTAAATATAAAGCAAAGTTACAAAAATTTTTTTCACTTTTTTGGTTTTTGTAATCCCATAAGCACAGGGACTTTGGCAGCTGATGGGAGCTGAAGTAAAGACTTTAAAGTTTATATATGTATCATTTTCTAATTTTTGAGAAGTAATCTTTTGAAAAAATGATCAGCCTTTTTAAATACAGCTTCAGAAGACAGAATATGTTTAAGACACAAGGATATAAGATATGCTTTGGAATTTTGAGAAAGGAGTACTTCCTTTGCAGAGTAGCATACTACCAGTAGAAACTGAATGCTTATTGTTACATGGTTTGATTGCAGCCTTTCAGTATAACTTTATCAATTCTTAAATTCGAAGAATAAAGGTTGCAAATCTGAAATGTAGGAGGAAATATTGAATTATAATCATCCATACCCATCTCCCAGTCCAACAAATAAACGCCTTGGGTTCTAAACTAGATTTTAGTCATTTTGCTAATGTATGATCTTGAATAAAGGATGCAGTTCTTTTGGTTTTTTTTTTTCTGATACCAGGAATCAAACTCAGGACCTTGTGCAGGTGTGGTGTCACTTAGCTAAATCCCCAGCCCAAAGGATACAGCTTTGTTTTGTTGTTTCAAAAATGATTAAATAGTGTTAGGTCATCTCAGATATTTTTCACTTTTTAAATGAACTTTATTAAAGTAAAAATTACATATAATAAAATGCAGTGTGTTGGAAACATGTAGTGTTATCACCACCACAATCAAAATAAAGACTATTTTCATCACTTTCAGAATTTTCCTTTGTCCTTGCAGTTCACCATCTCCATTTTATCACCCTCTTTGTTTTCTGTCACCATAGTTTTGTCTTTTCTGTTTCATGTAAACGGAATTGCAAATGTGAAACTTTTGTGTCTCATTTTTTCACTTAGAATATTCATTCATTTCTAAATTTTTGGTGATTTTTTTATTGTGATAAAAATATACAACATAAAATGTGTCATTTAAATCTGTAACTCATTATCATTACTTAAATTTGTAATGTTGGTAATCACTATTTCTAGAATTCTTTGATCATCACGGACAAGTTCTGTACCATTGAATAAGCCTTCCCTCCCCTATCCCTAATAACCTTTATTCTACTTTCTATTTTTCTGACTATACCTATTCTGTGTAACTTATATAAGTGGAATCCTGCAACATTTGACCCTCTGTGTCTGGCTTATTTTGCAAAGCATTTTGGCAAGGTCTATCCTAGTTGTGACATCATTAGTTTTTATGTCTGAACATTCCATTGTGTAATGTAATGCCTTTTATTCATTCATTTGTTTTTCTGGTCATTTGGATTGTTTCTATTTTTTAGCTGTGGTGAATAATGCTATTTTCAATATTTGGTGTAGAAGTATCTGTTTCAGTGCCTGCTTTTAATCTTTTATATTGCTGAATCATACATAATTCCATGTCTAATTTTTGAAGCATTAAATTGCTTTTCACAATGTGGTTCTGCCATTCTACATTCCCAACAGCAGTGCTACAAAGTTTCCAATTTTTTCACATCCTTCTCAACTCTTGGTATTTTTTGTTTTGTTTTTTCTTTTAGTAATGGCTAGCCTAGTCAGTGTGAGGTAGTATATTAATATGGTTCAAGTTTTTTTTAAACTTTAAAATTCTTTCAGTGCAAAGATCAAGTTACAAGTACATTTAGTGGGTTTTTAAAATTAGTGGATAGTAGTAATATGGAATAATGAGCTTCATTTGGTATATCTGTACATGTATGTACATATTTTGATTATTTTTGTCCCATCCTTTCTTTCTTTTTTTCTTCTTTCTTCTCTCAAAGTCTGCCTTCTAGTTTCCTGTCTCGTATTGAGTTATTTTTCACCAAGATTTTTATTTTAGCTCTTTGCTTTCTCCTTTTTTCAAATATAACTACAAGCCAATTCATCATGAGGAAAAAAAAATCTGAGTACTACTTTATTCTGAGTACTACTTTATTATCAAGATACCAAGTTCAGTTTGTGAAACATTTTATATTTTGCTCAATCCTATATGATTATCTTTATCTTATAATGGAATGAGTATATTCGTTCATTTGAAAAATAATGTGCAAAATATTTAGTGTGAAGCATACAACAGTAAAGAAAAAAGAAAGTTTGCTATTATTCAGAAGTGTTCTGGTTCAGGAGACACATT